TCATCATCATCATCATCATCATCATCATCATCATCTCGCCATCATCATCAACACCATCATCATCATCAGCATCATCATCATCATCAGCATCATCATCATAAGCATCATCATCCTTCTCCTCCCATTCCTCCTCCTCCTCCTCATTTTCCTCCTCTTCCTCCTCATGATCATCATCATCTTCCTCCTCCTCCTCCTCCTCCTTGTTCCCCCTCCTCCTCCTCGTCCCTCCTCCTCCTCCTCCTCCTCCTCCTCCTCCTCCTCCTCCCGCCTCCTCCTCCTCCTCCAAGTTGCTTCGAAAGGACTCCAGGACCTACTCCATGAGGCCCCCAATAGGCAACACAACCTGTGTTTTATCAATTTGCAGCTGTTCGAGGTCTCAGCCGTTCGGTCCCTCGCCTGCTCTCACCCCAAACTGTTTTCCCAAAGGTGTCCTCCTCCTCCTCCTCCTCCTTGTCCCCCTCCTCCTCCTCGTCCCTCCTCCTCCTCCTCCTCCTCCTCCTCCTCCTCCTCCTCCTCCTCCTCCCTCCTCCTCCTTTCACCCCAAAGGTTTCCAGAAAGGCTCGGGGAACACATTGCCCAACAGCTCTGCGAGGCTTCGGCCCCACGTTTTGCCAAAGAGGTGCGCCTCCAAAAGGCAGGGGTGCGGCGGTGGTTCGCTGTGGGCGTCTTCGATGAACGCAAGGATGCGGGCGAAACGAGGAAGGAGGACAATGAGACGAGGACGGTGAGGACAATGAGACAGGAGACAATGAAAGGCGGAAGGACGATGGAGGACAATGAGACGAGGACGGTGAGATCAGAAGAACGCGGAGATACGAGGAGGGGGGGCAGCTTCAGCAGCAGGAGGGATGCTGTGGGCGTGGAGGAACACGGAGAGAAACTCGGCGGCGAGCCCCGGGGATAAGCGAGGGGGGGGGGGGGGCAAGCCTTCTCGGAAGGCTGTAGGCTAAAGGCGGGCGTGTCCCTCTACAGGGGGATTTTGGGAGAAACATAAAAAATACTCAAAAAATACCCCCCAAATGGGCAAATATAGTCAAACAATCGTCCCCAGACACTTTTTTTACTATTTTTGAATATTCCTCCTGTAGCTGTAGAGGGACAGGCCTGACTGAACTGTAGGGCTTCTCAGAAGCCCTGCGGGGGCCTTCCGAGACACCGCCATGGTCTGCGGAGACGGCTCAGACAGTCTTCTCAGAAAAAGCCGCAGGGCTTCTGATCCTTCGGAGAAGGCCTGCCCCCTCTCGGACGCCTGGATGGGGGGAACATGCAGGAGGAGGAGGAGGCGGAGGAGGAGGAGGAGGAGAGGCCGGAGGATGAGGAGGAGGAGGAGGCGGAGAGGAGGAGTAGGAAGGAGGAGGCGTAGGAGGAGGAGGAGGAGGAGGAGGCAATGAGGGGAACGCCCTGTGGTCTGCATTTGGCCCCGCCTTGGAAGGGGGGAACACTTCCCCCAGCGGATCCTCCCCGACGGGCCAGGAGTACTTGCCCCACGCCCAGGCCATCGGTTGGCCCCACCCCTCGGACATCCGGATAAGAAGCCCTTCGGATCAGCCCGATTTGAGCATCATACATGGTTCTGGCCTTTTTTCGCGACGGAGGCGCTTTTTTTTTTTTATTTTGTTTTTTCTTTTTTTTCCGGCCGAAAGAAGAGAAGTCTGCTGTGGGGCCACAAGGCGAACTCCTACTAAAAATCTAAACCCCGATCTAAACTGCGAACTCCTAACCGCCCCAACCGGTGACGAGCCAAGCCCTGCGAACCTCTAAAAATCTAAACTCTAACTCTACTAATCTAACCCAGCCCGCTAAAATCTAACTAACCCCCTAACACTCCCTACCCAACTCCTACCAACCCCCCCCCTACCCCCCCCACCAAACCCCCAACCACGATTTCTTTTCTGCTTCGCACTCTACATACTCCTCCCCTCCTCCTCCTCCTCCTCCTCCTTCCTCCTCTCACTCCTCCCCCTCCTCCTCCCTTCCTCCTTCCTCCCTCCTCCCCTCCTCCTCCGCCTCCTCGCTCCTCTCCTCCCCCTCCCCCTTCCTCCCTCTCCTCCTCCTCCTCCTCACTCCCTCCTCCTCCTCCTTCCCTCCTCCTCCTTTCCTCCCTCTCCTCCTCCTCCTCCTCCTCCTCCTCCTCCTCCTCTCCTCCTCCTCCTCCTCCTCCTCCTCCGCCTCCTCCTCCCTCCTCCTCCCTCCTCCTCATCCTCCTCCTCCTCCTCCTCCTCCGTCCTCCTCCTCCTCCTCCTCCTCCTCCTCCTCCTCCTCCTCCTCCTCCTCCTCCCCCCCCCTCGATTTCTGAGGGTGAGGGTGGGGTTCCCTTCCCCTCAGAACTCGTGGGGGGCAGGCGCAGGGCTCGCACCTGGCCCCCTGAGAGGTCGGCTCTCCGGTGGGCCGCTCGGGGCGCTGCCCGGGCGCGCCCCCCGGGGAAGCGCGCGCTCGGCGAGGCCGCCGCCGCGCTGCCGCGAACGCATCCCGAGGCGCGGGGGCCGCCGAGGACAGACGCCGCCGCCCGAGGGCCTCGACACTCGAGCCCGAAGCTCCAGAACGTCCCCCCCCAGGGCTCGCCGCCTCGACACTCGAGCCCGAAGCTCCAGAACGTCCCCCCCCAGGGCTCGCCGCCGAGGATACAGTCGGGGCGTTGACCTGAGGAACCTTGAATCAGGCACGAGGCCCCTGTTTTCCATAAGTTAAACTTCGATCCCCCATCGAAGACCAAAGGACAACCTAAGGCAAGCTGCGAAACAATTCAGGAATACGGAGCCCCTCCCCAACGAAAAGGGTTCCTTGTCCAGCGCCCCGACTGTAGAAGAAGAGAAACGGTAAAACAAAACCATCAGCTTCTGGCGCTCCGCGCGGATCCAAGCCATCCGCGCGGAGCGCCAAAAGTTTATGCTTATGCCGTTTTTTCGGGGATGGACAGACCTCCCTTTAGTAAAACGTGGTTTGGTGAAAACGACCTGAGGCCCAAACCTGGCGGGCGCAAGCCTGGAAAATAACGGCCGCGGCGCCCTCTCGAGAACCGGAAACGGACAATTCACTAATCGACCAGGGATCGCCGCCGAGGATGGAAGAAGAGAGACAGCAAAGCCATGAGCTTCTGGCGCTCCGCGCGGGTCCAGGCCATCCGCGCGGAGCGCCAAAAGTTTATGCCTATGCCGTTTTTTTCGATTCGAGAGGAGAGGAGGAGGGAGGAGGAGGAGGAGGAGGAGGAGGAGGAGGAGAGGCGGAGAAGCAGGATGATGATGAGGAGGAGGAGGTGGAGGGGAGGAGAGGAGGATGAGGTGAGCAGGGGGAAGGGAGAGGAGGAGAGGAGGAGAGGAGGAGGAGGAGGGTGAGAGGAGAGGATGAGGAGGAGGAGGAGGAGGAGGAGGAGGAGGAGGAGGAGGAGGAGGGGCTCGCCTACCGAGCCGCCCAGCGCCTCCAGCTCGCCCACCAGCACGCCCAGCAGGCGCCCGCGCGCGCCCCGCGAGTCCGCCTGCTCGGCGTACGCCTCCGGGCCGCGACCGCTCCCGAGGCCGAGAGCGGGGCTTCTCTCGCAGGGGCCTGGCAGTGCTGAAACCCGGGCTCTCCTCGCCAGAAGAAGAATAATAACAACAACAAGAAGACGACGAAGAAGACGAATAATAATAACCATGATAATACTACTAATGCTACTAATACTAATACGACTAATAATACTAATATTAGTAAGAATACTAATAATAGTATTAATACAACAAATATAAAAATAAGAATAATAATAAGAATAGTATTAATAATAATACTAATAATAATGATACTAATAATGATAATAATGGTAATAATAACAATACATACTAATGATGATGATGATGATGATGATGATGATGATGATGATGATGATGATGATGATGATGATGATGATGATGATGATGATGATGATGATGATACAAATAATAATAGTAATAATAATAATAATAATACTAATAGTGATATTACCACTAATACTAATAAGGAAGAAGAAGAAACGCTACGCAAACATAAATTGTCGGAGCTCCGCGCGGACTTCTTCATTCTTGGATCAGCGCTGGACCCCCCTGGCGGCGCCTCCAACGCCGATCCAAGATGTGCGCGTGGACCTCTCAAAGTGCATGACTCGTTGACTTTTTTTCCGCTTCGGCGCCTGTCGGCTACACGCAAGAGTGACCCAAGGCAAGGGTGACTAAAGGGGCCCTGACACACACACACACACACACACACACATACACACATACACACACACAAATAGACACAAATAACAGCATTCCCCATATTTTCCCATGTTTTCTGGGTTTTGGTCTTCCCCCCCGCTTCCCATATTTCCCCACATCTTCCTGGGAGTCGACGCTTACTTGTGTCTGTGCGTCTCTTTCCCTCCCGAGCGACCCCCGGTGCGCGGGGGAAGGGGGCACGAAGTGGCCAGCTCCGAGCGCGCAAAGCAGCCGCCGTCGCACCGCGCTCCGCGAGCGGGGCGGGGGGGCGCGAGGAGCCCGCACCGAAGGGCCACTCTCTGGCGAAGAGCCCCTCTTGCGCGTGGAGTCGATCACCTGGCCATCGCTCGGACGTCCATTCCCTGTGCTTTTTTTGTTCGGTTTCGTGCCTGGCTTTTTCGCCAGATGATCAAGGCTGCTCCTCGATGGTCCTCGCCGAAGGAAGAAAGCACACGTCCGAGCGATGCCAAGACTCTGGCGAAGGGTCCCTCTTGCGCGAGGGGTCGATCACAGGAGGGGTGCACCCCAGAGCCTGCCGTGGGCCGCGGCCGGGGCCACTGACGCTGGCCCCGTGGGGCATCTTTTGGGGGGGGCGTCTCGGAGGCCTCTTGGGCGCGTCGCGGGCGCTTCCTCCTCCTCCTCCTCCTCCTCCTCCTGCTCCCCCTCCTCCTCCTCCTCCTCCTCCTCCTCCTCCTCCTCCTCCTCCTCCTCCTCCTCCTCCTCCTCCTCCTCCTCCTCCTCCTCCACGGTCCAGGCGCGGTGGCGGGATGCACCGAGGGTCACTGGACGCACCTTTTTGCCCAACCGCTGCTCTCTGCGCTGGTGTCCTGCGCCCTGGTGCAGCCAACGAGCATGCAGGGGCCCCCCCCCCGCGAAAACGTGCACACCAAGAGGGCACTTTGGCCGACGCGAGCGTACGGGAGGCGGCGCCGCATGCACCCCAACGTGCTGAGGCCAAACACCTCACTGGGCTACGTGTCTTCTGTTGGCGACCAGCGTAAAAAGCAAGACGGCCCGAAGCGCTACTTCGGAGGAACGGGTGGAGGCGGGGGGAGGGGGGGGGCAGAAGAATGGATGTCTTGGATCGGCACTGGACCCCCCCCTACCTGAGCTGGCGAGCGGAGCGCGCCAAGGGCGGTGCTGGAGGCGCCGCCAGCAAGGATACGCGCGGACCTCCGCAAGGTGATGCTCATGCGGAGTGCTCTTCCTCGAGAAATGGAAGAGGCGAGGTGCAGGCAACAGTAGCGATCATAGCTTGGCTCCCGATGCTCGCCCCGGGAACCTTCCTGGAGCCACTCGCTCCACTCGTGTGGCTGCGGCGAACGTCCGCCGATGTGAGTCGTCGAACTTGAGTCGAGCTAGAGTCGAACTAAATTCGAACTGGAGTCAAGCAGATCCGTCAGGTGGCTCCCAGGAAGGCCCCCCGAGCGAACACCTAAGAGGTTCTGCATGGCTTGCGCTGGCGAGAGCCACGAACGGCTCGAAAACCTACAGAGTAACAGAAACAAGCACGAACATAAACTCTCGGAGCTCCGCGCGGACTTCTTGGATCGGCGCTGGGCCCTCCCTGGCGCGCGGAGCGCGCCAGGGGCGGCGCAGGAGGCGCCGCAAGGGGGGGCTCCAACGCCGATCCACAAACTCCGCGCGGAGCTCCCAAAGCTTAATGTCCATGCTGGTTTTTGTTCTTCGATCCTGAGACAGTCGGCTGCGCGCAAGAGCGACCCTGGGCGTATGCTGCCCCCATCGTACTTCAGGACCGCATCCCAGGAATAATTTCTTCAAGCGCCCAGAATAGTGTCGAAACAGTGTCGAACGAGTATCGCCTCCCAGGGCCCGACGTGTGAAAACCCTCCAGTTTCGGCACCTTCGTGGTGCTCGAAATCCTTTCTGGTGATCAAGGCTAAAGTAGGTTGGATCATCATAGCCCTGGACAAAAGTGACCTCTGATGCGCGGCTTTCGGGGACCGCGGGGAAGCCCAGTTCAGGCGCGCAAGCCAGTGCAGCAGGGATCCCTTGTGGGCCCGCACTGTAGTCCAGGCTGATTGGAGAGGACACGCGAGAGGACACGAGACCCTTCCAGGGGCCACATTGCCAGAAATCAGGAATATATATATATATATATATATATATATATACATATATACATATATACATATATACATATATACACATATATACATACATATGTGTGTGCGTGTGTGTGTATGTGTGTGTGTGTGCGTGTGTGCGTGTGTGCGTGTGTGCGTGTGTGCGTGTGCGTGTGCGTGTGCGTGTGCGTGTGCGTGTGCGTGTGCGTGTGCGTGTGCGTTGGTGCGTGTTTGCGTTGTGCGTGTGCGTGTGCGTGTGCGTGTGCGTGTGTGTGTGTGTGTGTTTGTGTGTGTTGTGTGTGTGTGTTGTGTGTGTGTGGTGTGTGTGTGTGGTGTGTGTTGTGTTGTGTGTGTGTGTGTGTGTGTAGTGGTGTGCTGTGTGTTGTGTGTGTGTGTGGTGTTGTGCTGTGTTGTGTGTGTGTGTGTGGTGTGTGTGTGTGTGTGTGTGTGTGTGTGTGTTGTGTGTGTGTGTGGTGTGTGTGTGTGTGTGTGTGTGTGTGTGTGTGTGTGTGTGTGTGGTGTGTGTGTGTGTGTTTGTGTTGTGTGGTGTGTGTGTCTGTGTGTGGTGTGTGTGGTGTGTGTGTGTGTGTGTGTGTGTGTGTGTTTGTGTGTGTGTGTGTGTGTTGTGTGTGTGTGTGTGTGTGTGTTGTGTGTGTGATGTGTGTGTGTGTGTGTGTGTGTGTGTGTGTTGTGTGTGTGTGTGTGTGTGTGTTGTGTGTGGGTGTGTGTGTGTGTGTGGTGTGTTGTGTGTGTGTGTGTGATGTGTGTGTGTGTGTGTGTGGGTGGTGTGTGTGTGTGTTGTGTGTGGTGTGTGTTTGGGTGTGTGTGTGTGTGTGTGTGTGTGTGTGTGTGTGTCGTGTGTGTGTGTGTGTGTGTTGTGTGTGTGTGTGTGTTTTGTGTGGTGTGTGTCGTGTACCTCCCTCCTCTATGTTGCCTTAGCCCTCTTCTCAGTGTGTGTGTGTGTGGTGTGTGTGGTGTGTGCTGGTGTGTGTGTGTGTGTGTGTGGTGTGGTGTGTGTGTGTGTGTGTGTGTGTGTGTGTGTGTGTGTGTGTGGTGTGTGTGTGGCGTGCCGTGCGTGCGTGCGTGCGTGCGTGCGTGCGTGCGTGCGTGCGTGCGTGCGTGCGTGCGTGCGTCTGTGTGTGGAATCAAGGGGTCGCAGAATGCAAGACACGAGGACAACCTTGATTTGGCAGGGTCGACCTACTACTTACTCGAGGCCTCCTAGATGGGGTCCGAGTAGATGGGGTCGAAGGATCGAGCCGCATCGCCAATGCATCGCCAATGCATCGCCGATGCATCGGCGATGCAACGGCGATGAAGCGGCGATGCATCGGCGACGTCGGCGTGGGGATACACGGGCTCCACATCGAGCCGCATCGTCGAGGCATCGGCAGTGCGGCGCCATCCTCCGACCCCGTCTCCTCCGGCCCCCCCCCTTTGGAGGCCTGTGGACACTCAGCCCAGACTGTGAAGGTCACTCCGGCGAAGAGCCACTCCTGCGCGCAGCCACAGAACTCGGGGATGGACAGACCCCCCTTTAGCAAAACGTGGTTTGGTGAAAACGACCTGAGGCCCAAGCCTGGCGGGCGCAAGCCTGGAAAATCACGGCCACGGCGCCCCCTCGAGAACCGAAAGCGGACACTTCACTCATCGACGTGTCGCCGTTGGGGTCTCTGCCCACCCCCGAAGGACAAACAAAAAAAACGCCGCCTCGGCCCTCCCCGCGCGCGCCCCCGGCCAGGCGGGCGCGCCACCCCAGTCGGGGAGACGTAAGACCCGGGTACGGGGGACTCGGAAATCCCCGACGAGGTCGTCAAAAAAATGACGAGGCCGAGCCTGCATTTTGACGAGGCCTCCCGCTGCAGACATCCCACAAAACTCCTCCTCGTCAAAATCCGAGTCGCGGTCGTCAAAAAACGATGGCGAACCCGGGTCCCGGCAAACCCGGGTCTTACGCTCCCCCGATCGAGGCGCGGGCTGCGCGGCAGCCCTCCCACGGCCACGCCGCCCTCCGTGGAGCCCGCGGCGCGCCGCGGCGGCAGGCCCTCGTGTTAAGTCGGGCCTGTCCCCCTACAGGGGGATTTTCGACGAAAAATCAAAGATACCCCCAAGAATCACCCCAGAAATGCTCCAAGAATAGTCCGGGGCCTATCTCTTTAGTATTCTTGGACCTTTTTGGGGCATTCTGGGGGTATTTTCCATTTTTCGTGGAAAATCCCCCTGTAGGGGCACGCCCGACATAACCCTCGTGCACTTTCGGGCAGGAGGGCTCCGGTTGCTCGGGCGCCCTCGCCGGTGCCTGGCGTTTTTTTTTTTTTCCAGCCCCGGTGCTGCGTGGCAGCGGCCGTGCCCCGCCGAGTGGCGTCCAGGGGTGCCCGATGATCGCCAGGAACGGCCACCGTAGAGCCGAGTCGAGCGACGGCGAGAGGAGGAGGAGAAGGAAAAGGAGGAGGAGGAAAAGGAAAAGGAGGAGGAGGAGGAGGAGGAGGAGGAGGAGGAGGAGGAGGAGGGGACAGGGCAGGGCTGAACCTAAACGGCGCTTTTCGTGTTCGCTTTGCTCTCGTGTGCCCTCTTTTGTCTTCCATCCGCCCCTACCGCAAAACGAAGCCGAAGCGAAAACGGCCCACGGAATCGCCAAAACACCGCTTAGGTCCAGCCCTGATCCAGGGGTGCCCGGATCGCCCGGAACGGCCACCGGAGAGCCGCAGGGCTCCGAGACAGGGCAGGCCTGCTCCGAAAGCGGCGGGGTTCCGGGGAAGGCTCGGAAAAAGCTTCTCGGAAGGCCGCAGGCCTCCTGAGCCTGCCGAGAAGGCCCGCCCCCTCTGCCTTCCCCCTGGGCGCGCCGCCGGCTGAAGGTCAACGACCCGGGGGGGACTGGGTCTGGGGGGGAACATCGGCCCGGAATCGGCGATACGCCGCCGGCACATCGGCAACAGGGCCCCGATAGCGAAACCGCGCGATCCTGGGCCAGGGCGGGCTATCGTCAGGTCGAGCGTGTCCTCCTACAGGGGGGCGAAGAACAAAAATATCCAAACATATTCCAAAATAGTTAATAAAATACTCCACAAATCGTCCCCGACCTGTTGTTTGAGTATGTTTGAATCTTCCCCCCGTAGAGGGACAGGCCCGACTCCAGGCTACCGGGCTCCTGTCATCGGCGACCAGTGGCCGGCTGCGGGTCACTGCGCCCCCCCCCGACCCTATTCCCCCCCTAACGTTGCCCCTGATATGTGCACGCAGCGGGGGCGCGAATGCCCGCGCCCCCGCTGCCCCCCGTCGGAGCTGGAGGGACAGAAACAGCGATGACAGCCAAAACTGATCGCGGAAACTTCGGCGCCGATCTGGGCCACCGGGGACTCGTGGGTCACACTCGCGAAGCGGCGGCGGCCGGCTTGGACCATTACCAACAGGGGAAGGAGGAGGAGGAGGAGGAGGAGGAGGAGGAGGAGGAGGAGGAGGAGGAGGAGGAGCAGGAGCGAAGAGGAGAACGAGGAGGAGGAGGAGGAGGAGGAGGAGGAGGGGAGGAGGAGGAGGGGGAGGAGGAGGAGGGGGGGAGGATGGGGAGAAGAGGAGTTCTTGAGGGGGATGAGGAGGGAGGAGGAAGAGGAAGGACGAGGAGGAGGAGGAGGAGGAGGAGGAGGAGGAGGAGGGAGGTGCCGGGAGGAGGAGGGAGGGGAGGAGGATGCGAAGGACCAGGGAAACAGGGGGGCCACCGTCCGGAGGAGGAGGAGGAGGAGGAGGAGGAGGAGGAGGGAGGGAGGAGGGGGAGGAAGAGGAGGAGGAGGGGAGGGGGAGGAAGAGGGGGAGGAGGGAAGGACACGTACCAGGCCGGGACACCGTCCGGGGGAGAGGAGGAGGAGGAGGAGGAGAGGAGGAGGAGGAGGAGGAGGAGAGGAAGGAGGAGGAGGAGGAGGAGGAGGGGGAGGAGGAGGAGGAGGGGGAGGAGGAAGAGGAGGAGAAGACCCCGCGCAGTCTTTTGGTCGTGGCCATCGCGTTTCTTCCTTCGCGGGCTGCTCGCGCTCCCCCGCGCGGCCCCGCCCCCCGCCCACCCCTCAGGCGCTGCAGCCGACGCACTCGTACTTCGGCGCGCTCGCCTTCAGCGCGTCGATGGCCCGCTTCTCCTCGGGAGCACGCGCAAACAGGCAGTATAAACATTAGGTCGGGCCTGTCCCCCGTACATGGGGACTGTGGGCGGCTTATATATAGAATCCAGAACTTAATATTACATACACACATAAAGAAACTCCAAACATGCTCCATAAATGCTCAACAATGGTCAGAAGATGGTCCCCCGACTATTTGTTTTGCCAATGTTTGAATACCCCTCCTGTAGAGGGGCAAACCCGGCTTAACATAAACATACCTAAACTCGTCGATCTCCGAACGGATTTCCTGGAGTGGCGCTGGGCCCCCGCGCGGAGAGCGCTGGGGGAGGCGCTGGAAGCGCCGCCACAAGGGCCCAGGCGCAGATCCGAAAACTCCGGGCGAGCCCCCGAAACATTGAGTTTGAACAACTCTCCTCCCCCCCTCATTTCCCATCCGCGCCACTCCTCCCATCCCTGCCTCTATTTTCCGCATGTCCATGTCGGCACACCTCTCGCGCGGTTCGTGGCCTGTATGGGGAGTTCCACCGAAGGCCCCAATGGCATGGTTCGCATGGCACCACCGCCCCATTGCGGCACAACCTTCACACGGTTCGTGGCCCCATGGGGAACTCCACCGAACTCCCCACTGACAAGGTCCGCGCGGCATCGCCGCTACATGTCGGCACGCCCCTCACACGGTTGGCGGCCCCATAGGGAGCTCCACCGAATGCCCCAATGGCAAGGTCCGCATGGCATCGCCGCCCTATTTCGGCACACGGTCGGTGGCCCCATATGGGAGCTCCACCGAAGGCCTCAATGGCTGACTCCGCAGGGCGCCGCCGCAAAATTTCGGCAGAACCCCTCACGCGGCTCGTGGCCCCACAGGGAGCTCCGCCGAAGGCCCAAGTGGCAAGGTCCGCATGGCACCGCCGCCCCATTTTCGGATCATCCCCCTTTATTATGGTCCATCCCATCCGCTCAGAAAAAAACCAGCAGCGAAGATAATTCAATTTCTGCGCACTTACCGAATGTCACCGAAAAACGGCGACGCGACTCGCCCCACACAAACCCACCCCAACAAACAAACGGCGAGCAACACGCAAACCTTCAATTAACCTCGTCGGCGACGACGACGCACCAAAACACTTACCCGGACGGGGGCGAACCCTGCCACGAGGGCATTCGGTGAAACTCCCTGAATCTCCATATGGCGCCACGCACCGTGTGAGGGGCGTGCCAAAGCTGGAGTTGGGACGCATGTGGGCCCTGTTATTGAGGCTGCGGTGGAGCTCCCTGTGAGGCCACGAACCTTGTGCGTGTGCGCGTGCCCAAATTTGCCAGGGGACATTTGTGAACCCTGACAGTGGGGCCTTCGGCGGCGCCCCCCATGAGGCCACGTGCCCCAAGGAGGCCCGCGAACAAGCCGCGGTCCGCATCACGCGCCCCAACAAACGCCGAGGAACCCCGGAAAAAAAACGGCGACGAATGATCCTGCGAACACTTAGTGCCCTCCCCGAAAGAACGGGAAACGGCGACGCCCGACCTCGGGGGCATACCCACTGGAGGCTCCGTTGAGGGGGGTGATATTTTCGGCACACCATACGGTTCGTGGCCCCATACGGAGCCTCACCGAAAGCCCTGGCGGCAACGTCCGCATGGCGACGCCGCGCATTTCGGTACACCCCATCACGCACTTCGCGGCCCCATGGGGAGCTCCACCGAAGGCCCCTGTGGCAGACTCCGCGTGGCACAACCGCCCCATTTCGGAACACCCCATCACGCGGCGCGTGGTCCCTGAGGGAACCCCACCGAAGGCCCCAATGGCAAAGTTCGCATGGCACCGCCGCCACATTTCGCCACACCCCTCACACGCTTCGTGGCCCCAGAAGGAGCTCCACCGAAAGGCCCCGCTGGCAGGGTCCGCGTGGCGCTACCGCCCCATTTCGGCACACCCTCTGCGCGGTTCGCAGCCCCATAGGGAACCCCACCGAAGATGATACCCACAACTGCGTTACTCACAACTGCATCTGGTTGGGTCTTTCGCCCAACTCATTTCTTCGTCGGTTCTTCTTGGCCCCCACGGGTCGTCACCCATTTCCCGAAACAGGCGTTTCGTCCCGGGACGTTCTTGACTGCCCAGGGGTCCACTAGGCGCCCGCAGAGGCCGAAAATTGCCAGACACCTCCCGTCGCGATTTAGGTATAGCTTCGAGTTTCGAAAAAAAGGCTCCGAAGCTTGAACTCTTCTTCGAAGTCCGAAGTCACTCCCAATCGTCTTGTGGTGTTGGGTCCTCGTTTTTTGAAGAGACAATGCCCCGCGTCCTGCTATCCTCTCCTTTCCCCCTCCTCCCCATCCCTCCCCCCCTCCCTCATCCCGTCACAATCATCATTATCGTGAGCACCGCGTCATCATCATCATCATCATCGTCATCATCATAATCATCATCCTCATCCCCCTCATCGCCATCATCTTCATCGTCCGCATCAGCATCAACCTCATCATTATCGTCATCGTCATCGTCATCAGCGTCATCATCGTGTTCATACTCCGTACGGCCATTCTGATCACGATCGTCGTGATCATCGTGATCGTCGCCACCCCTATCGCCATCGTCGTCATCATCGTCAACATCACCGTCGGAATTGCAGCATCATATCCATCATCATTGCCAATATTACCTCCATCGTCATCAGCAGCGTCATCATCGCGCTCGCCATCGTCATCGTCATAACCGCCGTCCGCTTCGCCACCGCCGCCATCGCCGTCGCCATCAGCGTCGACGTCATCGTCTTCAGCGTCGTCGTCGTCGCCGTCCTCATTCTTCACCATCGTCATCATCGCAATCGTCGCCATCCCCGTCATCGTCGTCATCGCCCCCGTTCCAGCGCGCCCCTCACATGGTTCGCGGCCCCATTGGGGGCCCCGCCGGAGGCCCCAATGCCAGGGTCCGCGCGGCGCCGCCGCCCCGTCGCAGCGCGCCCCCCGCCCGGTTCGCGGCCCCGTGGGGAGCTCCGCCGAAGGCTCCAGTGGCAGGGCCCGCGTGGCACCGCAGCTCCATTTCGGCACAACCCCCCGCGCGGTTCGCGGCTCCGCAGGGAGCTCCACCGAAGGCCCCAGCGGCAGGGCCCGCGTGACACCGCCGCCCCGTTTGGGCAGACCCCTCACGCGGTTCGCGGCCCCGCGGGGAGGAGGGGGGAGAAGGGGGGGGGGGGGAGAGGAGGGGGAGGAGGACGAGCTAGGCGCGCTCGCGTCATATCTGACGTCCTACCCTTCCCCTCCACCCCTCACCATGGCGCTGATTTTCTTTAACCGCGGACGCGTGTCGTAGCGGACCTGTGGATCCCCGCGCGCGTGCGTGGCGGGCGGCGGCGCGCGCGCGCGCGTGCGCGCGCGTGTGCGTGGTTGTCGTGGCGGTGGCGTTGGCGGTAGTGGCGGTGGTGGCGGTGGTGGTGGCGGCGGCGGCGGCGGTGGTGGTGGCGGCGGCGGCGGCGCTGGCGGTGGCGGCGTTGGCGCTGGCGCTGGCGGCGGTTGCGGCGGCGGCGGTGGCGGCGGCGGCGGCGGCGGTGGCGGCGGCGGCGGTGGCGGCGGTGGCGGCGGCGGCGGCGCGGCGCGGCGGTGGCGGGCGGATGGGCGCGCGAGAAAAAGTTTTAAGGCCCGCGCTGGGGCGAGAACGCCACCCTGAATGACGGGGGCCAAACCCCGATCCAAAAATGAGGCCCACGCTGCAGCGGGAGCGCGATTCGGAACGATTCGGGGGCAGAAATGAGGCCGGCGCCTCAGCGAGAGCGGCAGTTTGGAAAGAGAAAATGGAGAAAAAAAAGGCGAAACCCCGTTTCCCGGGAATCCTGCGTGTAAAAAAAAACAATACGGGGGGGGGGGGGGTCGGATATCTTCGGGGCGCCATCAGGGAAGTGGGAGAGTATTTCCATATGGAGTAATTGTTGGAGGAGGAGGAGGAGGGGGAGGAGGAGGAGGAGGAGGAGGAGGAGGAGGAGGAGAGGAGGAGAGGAGGAGGAGTAGGGGGGGGAGGAGGAGGAGGAAGAGGAGGAGGGGAGGAGGAGGAGGAGGGCGGAGGAGGAGGGGAGGGGGAGGGGGAGGAGGAGGAGGAGGAGGAGGAGGAGGAGGAGGAAGAGGAATAACGAGAAAAGTACGCGGGGCACCGTCTCTTCAAAACGAGGGCCCATCGCCGCGCGACGGCTGGGAAGAATCGCAACGGCGGGCGCGGGGGCGGGTCGCCCTCTCCCGAGCCTGGGCGATGATGGTCTTCAGTTGCTTCGGCCGCTTTTTTCATCGGCGGGCGGAGACGTCTCGAGCGCGCCGCCGCGTCGCCTTCCACTTTTCCTCGCCCTCGTCCTCGCCGAACTCGCCGTCGAACTCGGGCGCGCGCGCCTGCGGGGGAGCGCGCCCGTGGAGCGCCTCCAACGGGGGGGGGGGGGGCTCGTCGATTCCCCGCCCTTGTGGTTCCCGCGCCCGAACTGCCCCCGCCGCCCCGGTGTTTTTTTCCGCCCTACTGAAGCCGCTGGCCCCCCCCGTTCACGCCCTGGGAACTGCCCCCCTCCCCCGCGCCGCCCGTCTTCCCCTGTCCCCGGGGGCGGGTGGTGGCTGCCCCCCCTCCCCGTTGAAATGCCGCCGCCGGCAGCCCCCCCCCGCCCCCCCGCGGCCCGGCCAAGGCGGGGTCGCGGGGCCCCCCGGGGCGCCGAAGGCCAGCGGCGCAAACTCAATGCAAAAAAAGGAAGGTCTAGCGTCGAAGCCCCCCCGCCTGCAGATGAAACAAAAAAGCCGGACCGGCCCCGGGCGCCGAAGAAGGGGGTAGCTCCCGGGCCCCCTCGCCCATTAGCTAGGGGCCCCCGCGCGGGAAAATGCCAGCGAAAAGAAGGTTGGGGGGGGTGGGCGGTTTCGGAAGGCCCCGCCCTTTCCCGGGGGAGGGGGGGCTTGAGGCTGGGGCCGCCCATCTGGCGGGAGGTGTTCCACGGGCGCGCGCTTTCGCGCCTTCCGCTGCGCGTTCAGCGAACGCGCCTGGCCACCATCTCTCCTTGAAGTCTCTCCCGGGCTCTTTCCCAAGACGACGTGGAGGAGCGTGAGCGTCTTCTGCGAGAGTCCGGTCGACGAAGCACCCGCAGGGCGCCGCAGTGGTGCGCCAGTCTGAGACGAGTGGGATTAAAGCCGATTGCAAACACTTCGGGCCGTTCACGAGCTACTTCGGCCGGGTTACATCCACCGAGCAGGGGCCGATCGCAACGTGATTGATTGGACACCGGATTACAATCTCTGAAGAGCCTCCGAAGGGAGTCCGCAGGACCTGGGAGCCTCTGAATTGCCTCTGCAGGGCCTCCGAAGAGCCTCTCCGACAGGCCTCTGAAGGAAACTCCACCGAAGGCCCCAGTGGCAGGGTCCGCATGGCACCGCCGCCACACAATTTCGGCACACCCCTCGCACGGTTCGTGGCCCCATGGGGAGCTCCACCGAAAGCCCCAGTGGCAAGGTCCGCATGGCACCGCCGTGCCAATTCGGCACACCCCTCAAACGGTTCATGGCCCCATAGGGAACTCCACCGAAAGCCCCAGTGGCAAGGTCCGCATGGCACCACCGCACCATTTCGGCACACCCCTGAAACGGTTCATGGCCCCATTGGGAGCACCACCGAAGGCCCCAGTGGCGGGGTCCGCGCATGGCACCGCCGCCCCACTTCGGCATACCCGGCACACGTTTCGTGGCCCCATGGGGAGCTCCACCGAAGGCCCCAGTGGCAAGGTCCGCATGGCACCGCCGCACAATTTCGGCACACACCCCTCACTCGGTTCGTGGCCCCATAAGGAGCTCCACCGAAGGCCCCAGTGGCAGGGTCCGCATGGCACGGCCGCACCATTTCGGCACACCCTTCACACGGTTCGTGGCCCCGTATGGAGCTGTACCGAAGGCCCCACCGGCAAGGTCCGCATGGCACCGCCGCCAAATTTCGGCACACTCGTCACACGGGTCGTGGTTTCATGGGGGGCTCCACCGAAGGCCCCAGTGGCAAGGTCCGCATGGCACCGCCGCACCAATTCGGCACACCCCTCACACGGTTCGTGGTCCCATGGGGAGCTCCACCGAAGGCCCCAGTGGCAAGGTCCGCATGGCACCGCCGCCATTTCGGCACACCCCTCACACGGCTCGTGGCCCCATAAGGAGCTCCACCGAAGGCCCCAGTGGCAGGGTCCGCATGGCACGGCCGCACCATTTCGGCACACCCCTCACACGGCTCGTGGCCCCATAGGGAGCTCCACCGCAAGCGGTACCCACAGCGCGGTTTTCACAACTGCGTATGGATGGGTCCTTAGCCAGGATATTTGTTTTGAGCAGGGGCCATTCGTCCTTGTTTTCCCATAGGCCTACCACGACATGCCCTCAGACCCCCCAAACTGTCCCTACAACAAGAGCAAGACTATTTGAACATTCGGCCGACGCTTTCAAACGAGACTGCCTCGGCCAGGCATGCCCTGACACCTCGAAAAGGTTCTTACATGGGCGGGGCGGGGGGGCCACGCGAGATGGGCGGGCGGGGGGGTGGGGGGGGGGGCGCACGGGAACGCCCTCCTGCTGTGGCGTCGGCTGAGCTCCTTCTATGGGGGCACGGCGTCATGCGCTTGCGGACGAAAGGCGGAAGCGAGGAGAGGGGGCGGAGGGGGAGGGGGAGGGGGAGGGGGAGGGGGAGGAGGAGGAGGAGGAGGAGGAGGAGGAGGAGGAGGAGGAGGAGGAGGAGGAGGAGGAGGAGGAGGAGGGGGAGGGGGGGAGGGATGAGGGATGATGAGAGGAGGATGATTGATGAGGAGGAGGAGGAGGAGGAGGAGGAGGAGGTGTGTGGTCTGTGGGCAAACCAAGACGTTTCGCCGCTGCTTGCTTGTTGCGTCTTCCCCAAAGTCTCCGCCGACGCCGCGACGGCCCCCTCGGAGGCCGCGCCTGCGGCGGGCCCCGCGGCTCGGGCCGGGTAGCCGCCGCTGTTCTCCGCGATCGTGGGGAGCGCCGGGCTGGTGCCCGCACGCTTCACCTCTCGGGTGCTGCTAGAAGTGCCCCTGGCCCAAAGTGCCTGCACGGTTTCCCCCGGGGCCGTGGGCGACCAGAGGAGGAGGAGGAGGAGGAGGAGGAGGAGGAGGAGGAGGAGGAGGAGGAGGAGGAAGACGGGTCGCCTAAGCCCTTCGGAGAAGCCCTCCAGAGGTGCCCCGAGACGAAGCCGGGACGAGGACAACTTCGGCAGTGAGGGTACATTGGGAACCTCTGAGATCCGGCGGGCTCCGGAGGAGGCCTCGGGCGCCGCGGCCTCCTCAGAGCGTGCCAGAACGCCCTCAGCGCGTTCCCGACCGCTCTGAGCGGATTCGTCCTCGTCCCAGGCCCGTTCGACCTGGCCCAAGGCTGGCCATCGCTCGGACGTCCCTTTCCTGTGTTCTTTGTCGGTTTCGTGCGTGGTTTTCTCGCCAAATGGTCAAGGATGCTCCTCGATGGTCCTCGCCGAGAAAAAAAAATGCACACGTCCGAGCGATGCCAAGAAGGTGCCACCAGGATTTCCAGGGAGGCACCCACGGCCTCCGGAGCACTCCTCCGGAGGCCTGGAGCGCCCCCATGGGGGCTCCAAAGGGGAGCGGACAGCTGGGGGCACCTGGGGGGAGGGCCGAGAAGGATCGAGGATCGGGGATGATCGAGGAGGGGGGGAGGATCTGCGAGGAGGATCGAGGAGGGGGGACCGAGGATCGGGGATCGAGGGGGAGCGAGGGGGGATCGAGACGGGCCTCCCTCTGCCCCCCCGCAGTGGGGGAGGGGCGAGGCCAAGGGTTCGCACCTGTAGCACCCCCCGAGCCCTGCATGGAGAGGCCAGGACCTGGACGCTACCGCATCGGAGCGGTGGAAGCTTTGGGTCGGGCCTGTCCTTCTACAGGCGGGTTTGGGGAGAAGCGTGCCAAATAGTCAAACAGTAATCAAACACGGCCAACAGGCGCGAAACATCGTCAACATACTATTTACCAGCCTCGAACGTATCCCTATTCCTAAGATTGACACGCTAAAAGGCGATGAGAATCTTAGGGATTCGCCCTCAAAAAATAAGGGAATCCCTAAGATTGGCATCGTGATGAGGAGGTGCCCAGCTAGGGATAGGGATATGTTCCAGGCTGGTAAACTATGTTGCGCTATTCGTGAAGCCTCCTCCTCTGGAGGGACGGGCCCGACCTTACCGTCGCTCGGACGTCCCTCTCCCGTGCACGTTTTTCGGTGTCGTGCGTGTTTTTTTGCACGACGGCCCAGGATGGTCCTCGATGGTTCTCGCCGAGGAAACACGCACACGTCCGAGCGACGCCAAGCGACTTGATGGAAGCCTTTGGACGCCCGATAAGGGTACGGAAAAACTGGGCACAAAGCCCGACAACAAATGCTGTCCCGAACCAGCAGCGGCCGCTGTTGGGCAGGCGGACTTCTGCCTTACATGGACACAGGCCGCGGCGGCGCGGACAGCGAGTCCTGCTCAAAGTGGACAGGAAATGTTGTTGGGCATGTTCTTCAGCTTCGTGCGTGTTTTTTTTGCTCGACGGTGGGGTTTGAGAATCAGCTCGCGTAGCTGACTTTCCCGGCGCCTCCCGGCGCCAGGAGGCGGCCATGAATCGAGGAATGGGCCCGGCGGCGGGGCCGAAACCAGCTGCACGCAGCAGATTTCGTACCCCCCCTTTCCCTATCCCCCCCCTTTCGTCCGGCCCGACCCACGGGGCAGCACCGGATCGGACACAACGGTGAGGTCGGGCCTGTCCCCCTACAGGGGGATTTTGGACGAAACGTAAGAAAGTACTCAAAAAACTGCCCCCCGAATGGGCAAGAATAGCAGAAAAATCGTCCCCATGCTATGCTTTGGCTAATTTTGACGATTCCCCCTGTAGAGGGACAGGCCCGACTGAGCACATCGGGGATCTCTGAGACCCGGCGGTTCTGCAGGATGCTCCGGGTGCCGCGGCCGTTCCAGAGCGCTCGGGGGCGCTCCGAGAGCGCTCCGAAGGCGCTCTGGAACGATCCGTCGACGGCGACGGCGACGGCGACGGCGACGGCGACGACGACGACGACGCGCTCTGGCCGGGCGTTGGCACAACTGGGTTTAGTGGGACCTGGTCTAATGATTCATACCGGGGGACGCCCCCCCCGCCCGTTCCACTAACCGGAACTGCCGTCACCCGAAAAAACACCATCTACGGCAAACCTGTCTTTCGGGGATGGACAGACCCCCCTTTAGCAAAACGTGGTTTAGTGAAAGCGACCTGAGGCCCAAACCTGGCGGGCGCAAGCCTGGAAAATAACGGCCACGGCGCCCTCTCGAAAACCGAAAACGGACAATTCACTAATCGACGTGTCACTGTTGGGGGTTCTGTCCACACCCGAGTCTTAGTGGTTCTGGCCAATTCAGGGGCTCCGGGGCCCTAGCACTAACCGGGTCCCCTTACCTGGTATCCTGGCCCTACCCGATCTGGAGCGCTCCGGAACGACTCCTCCGGGAGCTGGGCCCGCCCGGCCTTGTCCACGTCCACGGTGAACTTGATCGCCTCAGTGGCGGCCTTTGGTGGGCCTGTTTTCCACCACCAGCACAAGTTGGAGGAGGGAGGAGGAGGAGGAGGAGGAGGAGGAGGAGGAGGGAGGAGGTGGAGGAGAGGAGGAGGAGGAGGGGGAGGAGGAGGAGGAGAGAGGAGGAGGGGAGGAGGAGGAGGAGGAGGAGGAGGGAGGAGGAGGAGTGAGGAGGAGGAGGAGGAGGAGGAGGAGGAGGAGGGGGAGGGGGAAAAGGAGGGGGAGGAGGAGGAGAGGGAGGAGGAGGAGGAGGTCGAGGAGGAGGAGGAGGAGGAGGAGGAAGAAGAGGGAGAAGAGGAGGCAGAAAAGGAGGAAGAAGAGGAGGACCCCCTCCCCCTCCTACTAATGGCGATGGCGGTGGAAAACAGGCCCACCAGCCTTGGTGCGCAGGTAGTACATGCCGGTCTTGAGGCCCTGCTGCCAGCCGTGGAAGTGCATGGACGACAGCTTGGAGGTCGACGCGTCGGTCATGTGGATGTTCAGCGACTGCGACTGGTCGACGTACTTTCCACGGTCGGCGGCCATGTCGATCACCACCCTCTGCCTGATCTCCCAGACCGTCTTGTAGAGCTCCTTCAGGTCCGCCGGCAGGTCCAGGCCCTGCACGCTGCCGTTGTGCGCGATCAGCTGCATGCGCAGGTCCTCCGTCCACAGCCCGCGCGAGATCAGATCGCGGAGGAGGTGCCTCTTCTGGCTACACGCAGCAGGAGTAGCCCCAGGCAGGAGGGACCTCTGCTGCGCGCCTTTCGGGGGCCGCGGGGAGGCCGCGTCGGAGCGCGCGGGCCGCTGCTGCCGCACCGCCTTCGACCACCCGGGGGCCCCCGCGTGCCCGCACCGGAGGTCACTCCGGCGAGAGGCCACTCTGAAGTACAGGGCAGCTTTTAGTACATAGGGTTTTGAAACATATATGACTTTTAATGCATGATTAATCTATGAATAAATGTATGCATGAACTCCTCGTTGTTTTTGATGCTAAGTCCCTGCATGTTTTAATACATGATCCGCACGCGGAGCATGTTAAACAACGGCACTGTATGGCCGACCTGTTCACGGTCACGAACTCGCCAGACAGCACCCGGCGCACGTACAGGTTCTGCGTGTAGGGCTCGAACGACTCGTTGTTCCCGAGGATCTGCGCCGTGCTCGCCGTCGGCATGGGCGCGACCAGCAGAGAGTTCCTCAGGCCGTGCTTGGCGATCCTCTGCTTCAGGCGCGCCCAGTCCCAGCGCCCACTCCTGGGCGCCTGCTTCCAGAGGTCGAACTGCAGCAGGCCGCGGCTCGCAGGCGATCCCGCGAAGCTCTCGTACGGCCCGTCCCTCTCCTGGAGGAGCAGAAGAGTACACAAGCACAACCGTTCGGAGCTCCGCGCGCAATCTTCGGATCGGCGCTGGAGGGCGTCTTCTTTTTTTCGCGACGAGAACCGGCGTGACACAGGGGGGAGGGTGAGGGGGGGGAGGGGGAGGAGGAGGAGGAGGAGGAGGAGGAGGAGGAGGAGGAGGAGGAGGAGGAGGAGGACGAGGCGGAGGCGGAGGAGGAGGAGGAGGAGGAGGAGGAGGAGGAGGAGGAAAGGGGGGGGTGGCACGACGCAACGCCTCCGCCCCTCACCGTGAGAGACTGTGGTGCCGGAGGCACCGCGGCGGTGCCGGGGGCGCAATGGGGGAGGGGGGGCGTCACGTGCAGGAGGAGCTCGACCACCAGAGACCTTCCACAGGAAGCCCAACTCCGAGACCCCAGGAGGTCCATGGACTCTTGGTGCGGGAACGCCACGCGTTCCGTCGCAGCACTGTCGAAGCTCAGGAAGCCCGGGGGCACCCTGGAGGCAAGCGGGGCGTTTCCTGGCATGGGCCTCCACTGCAACGCGCGCCGAGGCCCAGAGGGCAAGAGACCCTCGCCTGGCCACCCCCTCCCTGGCGCGGGGAGCGCGCCGCACCGCCGGGGGAGGGGGGGGCCCCGCGCCGAGCCGAGAAATCTGCGCGGAGCCCCGACGACTCGTGCCTGTGCCGTTGTCGCGTCTGCGATCTCCGCAAGCTCGCAAGAGGCCTCGCAGGCCGCGAAGTAGATGGTCTCGAACACGTCCTCGTTGAGCCTCCTGGCGACCTCGCCCTCGAACGGCAGCCGCATCATCATGAAGGCGTCGGCCAGGCCCTGGACGCCAAGGCCGATGGGGCGGTGCTTCATATTGGAATTCCTGGCCTCCTCGACTGGGTAGAAGTTTCGATCGATTACCTTATTCAAGTTCATGGTGGCCACCTTTTGCAGGCAAGATTTCTAGCCACATCCACGGCGTCTTGGATTTGTGGAGAGGGGGTGCCCAAAACCCGAGACGCAGTGGATAAGGAAAATTGCTACCCATCTCCACTGCGTCCCGGGAGCCCGAAATTACAAGACCCAGTGGATACATTGTATGTATGAGTATCTTACCCACAACCTTGGTGACGCGATACAACTCCTTAAAATCGTAATCGTCGACACGGTCGCTCTTGACGAAGGCCGACAGCGCGATCGACGCCAAGTTGCACACGGCGACCTCGCCAGGTGACGTGTACTCGATGATCTCGGTGCAGAGGTTGGAGCAGTGGATGGTGCCCAGATTCTGCTGGTTGGACTTCCTTGGATGAGCAAAAAGCGGCACAATGATGATGATGATGATGATGATGATGATGATGATGATGAGGAGGAGGAGGAGGAGGAGGAGGAAGAGGAGGAGGAGGAGGAGGAAGAGTGGCGGAGCTCCGCGCGGATTTCTCGGATCTGCGCTGGACCCCCTCCCTGGCGCGCGGATCGCGCCGAGGGCGGCGAGGGAGCCGCCGCCAGGGGGGCCCGGCGCCGATCCCTACAGTCGGGGCGCTGACCTAAGGAACCCTAGATAAGGAACGAGGCCCCTTTTTCCATGAGTTAAACTTCGATTTCCTGTCGAGAACATCAGGAAAGCCTGAGGCAAGCCGTGAAACACTCAAGGAACGCGGAGCCCCTCCCCATCGAAAAGGGTTCCTTCTTCAGGGCCCCGACTGTACGCGCGGAGCTCTAAAAGTTCATGTCGATGCCGTTGTTTCTTCCTCGATTCCTGTTCGCGTGATCCTTGTAGAGCATGTACGGGGTGCCGGTCTCCATCTGCGCATCCATGATGCGGGACCAGAGGCTCTGGGCCTTCACGGTCTTGCGACCCTTGCCGTCTCTCTCGAGCTGCGTATACATCTCCTCGAACTCCTCGCCATAGACATCCATCAATCCCCTGGACGTCTCCTTGTCGTACGCCTCGTTAGGGCAGAACAGCGTCCAATCGCCGTCCTCCTTCACGCGGCGCATAAACAGGTCTGGAATCCACAAGCCGTAGAACAGGTCGCGGGCGCGCTGCTCCTCCTTGCCGTGGTTCTTGCGCAACTCCAAGAAATCGAAGACGTCTGCGTGCCACGGCTCCAGGTAGATTGCGAATGATCCCTTGCGCTTGCCGCCGCCCTGGTCCACATAGCGGGCAGTCTCATTGAAGTTGCGCAGCATTGGCACAAGCCCATTGCTCTGACCATTAGTACCGCGGATGTAGCTGCCCTTCGCGCGCACGTTCGAAACCGCGACGCCAATGCCGCCCGCGGACTTGGAGATCTGAGCGCACTGCTTCAGCGTGGAGTAGATTCCATCAATGCTATCGTCCTTCGTAGTGAGCAGGAAGCAGGACGACATCTGCGGGGTAGGCGTACCTGCGTTGAAGAGCGTCGGCGTCGCGTGCGTCATTTTGCGCAACGACATCAAGTCGTACGTCTCCACCGCAGCCTCAACATTGCCACAGTGAATGCCACAGGCCACCCGCATGAGCATATGCTGAGGCCGCTCGACGATCTTCCCATTCACGCGCAGAAGGTAAGATTTCTCGAGCGTCTTGAAGCCGAAGAAATCGTAGTCACTGTCCCTTTGGTAATTGACTGCAGCATCTAGAAGCTCGGAATTATCCTGAATGAAGGTGTAGACATCGTCCGCGATCAACGACGCTGATCGACCCTGAGCGTCGCGGTACTCGTAGAGCACCCGGCAAGTCTCAGAGAATGAGCTCGCAGTGTTCTTGTGCAGGTTCGAGACCGCGATGCGAGCGGCGAGGGTCGAGAAGTCGGGATGCCTCTGGGACATGTAGGCACAAGTCTCGGCCGCCAGCACGTCGATCTCCGACGTCGAGATCCCCGCATAGAAACCTTCGATCACCTTCTGCGTGATGGCCGGGGAACAACAAATAACATAAGCATAAACATAAACTGTTGGATGTCGGCGCGGCTTTCTGGGATCGGCGCTGAGCCCCCTGGCGGAGCGCACCAGGGGCGGCGCCGGAGGCGCCGCCAGGGGGCTCCGGCGCCGATCCGAGAAATCTGCGTGGACCTCCAAAAATTCATGTGAATGCCATGTTTGGTTCTCCGTTATGGGCACTGGGTCAACGAATTTGGGGTCGAGACCGTCGCACAGCGCCCGGATCCGCTTCGTGACGCTGTCAAATCTGACCTCCTGTGGGACGCACGGAGACATACGAAGGAGGAGGAGGAGGAGGAGGAGGAGGAGGAGGAGGAGGAGGAGGAGGAGGAGGAGGAGGAGGAAGGGAGGATGAAGGAGGAGGAGGAGGAGGAGGAGGAGGAGGGAGAGGAGGAGGAGGAGGAGGAGGAGGAGGAGGAGGTACCATGTGTCCTCCTTGGAGGCGCACGTCCGGCCCGAACATGTGGTATACCCATCTTGTAGTACATCGTTCCCCGAGCGGTGTGGCCAGAAAGCGCCCGCCACGACGCTTACTTACACTTAGAAGGTTTCTCAGTGCGCGCGTCGCCCCTGGGGGGGCGACGCACTCAGAGACATACAGTCGGGGCGTTGACCTAAGGAACCCTAAATAAGGAACGAGGCCCCTTTCATAAGTTAAACTTCGATTTACCATTGAAAAGGAAAACCCAAGTCAAACTGTAAAACAATCAAGGAACACCAAGCCCCTCCCCAACGAATAGGGTTCCTTCTTCAGGGCCCCGACTGTACACAAATAGCATTCGTATGTATTAGTATGTTGGGGTGGCGCCGATCCTGCTGCTGCCCATCGCGCTTCACCACGTACATCTGCTGCGGGGCCGCCATGACGGGCAGGGGCTCTGCCAGGACGGGCGTACAAGTTGGCTCTCGGCCAAAACGGCTAAACCCAAATGACTACGGTCTCGACTCGCCCAGATCTTCACCTGGGATCTCCTCCCATGGGTCGGCATGTTGTTTCCGAAAGGCTCAAGAGTCCAAGGCGGCTTTCTAGAGGCCAGAGATCAGCGCAGCCGGGGGAGACGGGCGCAGGCTCGACAAACTCTTCGCACTCCTCCGCCCCCCGATCTCACACCGCCAAGTGCCGCCAACACCGACCAGTGAGAAGGCAACCCCGAATACGCGCCGGCTTGTAAAGCTAAAATGCCAGAACTCATGCGGCGGCGCTCCTCCTCCTCCTCCTCCTCCCCCTCCCCCCTCCCCCTCCTCCTCCTCCTCCTCCTCCTCCTCCTCCTCCTCCTCCTCCTCCTCCTCTTCGTCCTCGTCCTCGTCCTCGTCCTCCTCCTCCTCCTCCTCCTCCTCCTCCTCGTCCTCGTCCTCCTACCCTAGATCGACTTCTGGCTGGAAGAGGCTCCCCAGGGGGGGAGGGGGGGGGGGGCGAAACGAGTACACCTGAGCTTCTCGCTCCCCCCCCCCCTTTCGTGCGCACGCTCGCATGGGCTTAGGGACCCGTGGACCTTGCGCGTGGGCGCGAGAGATCCACGGGTCGTAAAAACCACGGCGCCAATGATTACCGCCCGATGTTTCGGCGGATCGGAGCGCGCCGCGCCTTCGTCCATCTTTGCGCGTTCTCGGAGGGCTTCTGGGCGGCGCTTGCCTAGGGGAAAAACAATGACGTAAACACAAAACTCGGAGGTCCGCGCGGATCGCGGATCGGCGCTCGACCCCGCTCCCTGGCGCGCGGAGCGAGCGTGCCAGGGGGGGTCCAGCGCGGATCCGAGAAATCCGCGCGGACCTCCGAGTTGGGCGAGGCGTGCAAGGAATCGGCGATACATCGCCGATAAATCGGCGAGGGGACCCCGATAGTGAATGCGCACGTTCCTGGGCAGGTTGGGGCTATCGGGCCCCTCTGGTCGATCCATGGGCGATTGGGGGTCGATGCATCCCCCCATATTCATGTCCCCTCCCTGTCGTTGTACCTGACTCCTGCTTCGCTGCCCCCACCTGCGCCGGCGCGCCGCCAAAAAAGACCTGGAACTTGGCGGCGCGCAAATCGAGGAAGCGCAGCCGTGGATTCGGGCTGATGAACCATAGCGACGGGTCCGTTCCCGTGCGAAGTCGGCACGATCCGTCTTCAATTAGCACGTGGCGGAACGACGCCAGCCCAGAACTCGGCCCCCCCCGAGGCAGAGGAAGAGAAGGACGAGGAGGAGGAGGAGGAGGAGGAGGAGGAGCAGGAGGAGGAGGAGGAGGAGGAGGAGCAGAGGAGCTGGGAGCAGGAGGAGGAGGAGGAGGAGGCGCGGCGGAGGAGGAGGAGGATTGGATGTATTGGATTGGATTTGATCAACGGCCGTTGGGACACGCGAGAGCAAGCCTGGGACACCAACAAACGAAGTTGGAGGCAGACCCTACGGAGGAAGGAGGAAGAAGGAGGAGGAGGAGGAGGAGGAGGATGGAGGAGATGGAGGGAGGAGGAGGAGGAGGAGGAGGAGCAGAGGAGGAGGAGGAGGAGGAGGAGGAGGAGGAGGAGCATGGGAACACGAGCAGGAGCAGGAGGCAGGGAGTGAGGAGGAGGAGGAGGAGCAGAGGAGTAGGAGGGTAGGAGGGGAGGAGGAGGAGGAGGAGGAAGGAGGAGGAGGAGGAGGAGGAGGAGGAGGAGGAGGGGAGGAGGGAGGAGGAGGAGGAGGAGGAAGACGAGGGAAGAGGAGGAGGAGGAGGAGGAGGAGGAGGCACCGGGCGTCCCCCCGCCCCTGGAGGCAGAGGGCGGCCTCGCACACCGCAGCGTAGCGCCACCTCTCCAGCACGACCAAGCCGTGCCCCGCGCCTGCCCGGGCGCCCCGCGTCCGCCCAGCGAAGCCCGGCCACTTGATGGAATGCAGGCAGGGAGGCTCGCGCCTGCTCGCCTCCTCCTCCTCCTCCTCCTCCTCCTCCTGCCCCTCCTCCCTCCGCCTCCGTATGCCCCTCATCCTCCTGTTCCTCCTCCTCCTCCTCCTCCTCCTCCTCCTCCTCCTCCTCCTCCAATCAATATTCTTTATTCGAATCTACTCCTACTCCCCCCTTTCCCTGGCCGATAGCCGCCCCATCCGGGACGTCCCATCCGAACCTGCAAAAAACAGCATCTAACCAACATGTTTCGGTTTTCGTTTCAGCATGGACGTCTTGTCGTCCACGTCGGTAATCCCTTGCAGAAAGTAGCACCAAAAGCACACGCACGCGTTCATGCCAAAATCCAGCCGAACATATCGTGTTTGCGACCGTTTCAACATGAACACCATTAAACAAACCTGGCTTTCATCACAAATATCCAGGATTCTTGCCCGCGCGCAATTGCTGAAATCACAGGAAAACCATACGATCCCTGGATTTCGCGAAAAAGCCAGCGATCTCACATCACGCCGCGCGGTGCACTCGCGATGTTCTGTCATGTACCCAAGCGCGCATCCTGTGCAAAAAAATACCCCGCGGGCGACATGCGCGCGCGTCGCCGCGAGCGCATGTCAACATCCTTCCAGAGTCGTCGCCATCATCGGCACCGTCGCTGGCCTTGCCGTCGTTGTCGCCATCGTCGCGGGTCACCGCCCTCCTCATCATGTCGCCACCGCGGTCGACGTCATCATGCCGACGCACATGCCCGAGTCACCGACCTGCACCGAGGTGCCCGCGCGCTGGCGCGGCCTTGGAAACGCGTGAGGCCAGTTCCCATCAGCGAGTGCAATCGTTGCCGCAAGAATTCTGCCATACAGTCGGGGCGTTGACCTAAGGAACCCTAAATAAGGAACGAGGCCCCTTTTTTCCATAAGTTAAACTTCGATTTCCCATCGGAAACCTAAGGAAAACCTGAGGCAAGCTGTGAAACACTCAAGGAACGCGGAGCCCCTCCCCAACCAAAAGGGTTCCTTCTTCAGGGCCCCGACTGTACCAGCTAACCGATCTACGCGCGCGATGCGTCTTGCCAACCAAGTTTTCCTGGGGCTTCCTGGGGCTTCCTGGAGGGGCTCCCGTCTCCTGGGCCTTCCTGGGGCCTCCTGGGGAAGGACTCGCTGTGGAGAAGCTGCACGTGCGGTACGCCAGCAAGTTAGCTGCCGTCCACCACCGACTTCTCCCCAAGCAGCGGCGCGATGCGTCTTGCCAGCCAAGCTTTGATGGGCCTGTTTTCCACCACCACCACCACCATAAGTTGGAGGGGGAGGGGGTCCTCCTCCTCCTCCTCCTCCTCCTCCTCCTCCTCCTCCTCCTCCTCCTCCTCCTCCTCCTCCTCCTCCCTGGGGCTTCCTGGGGCCTCCCGGAGGGGCTCCTGGCGCCTCCCCGGGGGCGCGAGGCTCGGGGCGCGCAGCTCGTGCACGCCCGCCGTCGGGGCAGGGAGGGAAGCGCCGTCGCCGTCGCCGTGGTCGTCGTGGTCGTCGCAATCGTCGTCGCAATCGTCGCAATCGTCGTCGTCGCAATCGTCGCAATCGTCGCAATCGTCGTCGTCGTCGTCGTCGTCGTCGTCGTCGTCGTCGTCGTCGTCGTCGTCGTCGACGTCAACATCAATGTCAACGTCAACGTCAACGTCGTCGTCGTCGTCGTCGTCGTCGTCGTCGTCGTCGTCAGAGAGGCTCGCCCCGAGCCCGCCCTGCTGCGCCAGCTTGCCCGCCGCCTCTGCGAGCCCTGCGCCCAGCCGGCTGGGCAGCAGCTGCTGGCTGGCCGCCGTGAGACTGCGGCCCCCCCCCGCGCTTCGCTCCCAAGCGCCCGCCGCTCCCTCCCCGAGATCCTGCTCCGGGCCCCCGTGAGCCCAGGCACGCCAGACCAGGACATCTGACATCCCTCGGAACACCTCCTCCTCTTCCTCCTCCTCCTCCTCGTCGTCCTCCTCCTCCTCCTCCTTCTCCTCCTCCTCCTTCTCCTCCTGCTCCTGCTCCTCCTCCTCCTCCTCCTCCTCTTCCTCCTGCTCCTCCTCCTCCTCCTGCTCCTCCTCCTCCTCCTCCTCCTCTCCCACTCCTCCGGGACAAAGGCCCGAATCCTGCAGCGCAGAGCAGGCAAGCTGCACTGGACGACAAAGTCTGACACTGCAGAGAAAAAGGCTGCGCAGGAGCAGGGAAAAAAGGAGCGCCGTATACTAGTCGATCCCCTCTCCCTTTATCCCTCCCTGTCGGGGTCCCAGGTCAGGACGCCGCCCCCCCCCCCCGGGGTCCCGTCGGGTCCGGGGCGGGATGGGGGGTTCGCCAACGGCGGCCCCCGGGGAGAGCTTGCCTTCGGGGTCGGCGGCACCAGCCGTACAGGGCAGTTTTTAGTACATACGATTTTTAACATATAGGAATTTTCATACATGATTCATGCACGAATAAGTTTATGCATGAGCTCATCGTTGCTTTTGATACGAAATCCCTGCATTTTAATAGATGATCCGCACGCGGAGCATGTATTAAAACGGCACTGTAAGGCCTTCGCAATATCTGACACCACTGCAGGAAAGGATGCCGTTGCCCCGACCTGCCAAGTGTTCTGGTCGGTCTGCGTCCTGCGTCTCTGGGGGCCTGGCCTGTGTGATGCCGCCCGGAGATCTGGGCGTCGCAGCGTTTTCCGCTCCAGGCATGTTCGCCGAATTTCGGGCGCTGGGACCCTCACAGATCGATCCGGCTCGAAAAGTGCGGCAGAAAGTGGGGGTCCAGGCCTCCATTCATGATCTTGCAGCAAGACACATTCGGTTCCAGGGTCGAATCCCCCCCTGCGAAACTCATTTTTTTCATTTGCCCTGTTTTCTTTTTCTGCAGCGATTTTTGTTTGTTTACCTACCTCGCTTTGCGAAACTGAGTTGGCCGCGTGGTGAGGTTCTCGATTTGCGAACCTCACTGCCTTTGGTTCGTGACCACGTGGGGCGGGAGGGGGGGGGTCCTCCCGGCCTTCCCTTGCTGCTGGCGCTTGGGGGGGGCAAAAATGAAGAAGAAGCCAAGCAAAAACAATTTCTTCATTTTTTGCCCCC